TTTTTTTTCATTCATTTCAAGTGAATGCAAGTGTGGGCAAGTTGTTGAAGTGTAAAAAAGCTAGTAAAAATGTCTCGATGTGTGTTATCAATTAGTAATATTATGTGCTTCTGTTGCCACACTATCACGCAATCTAAATAAGTGCATTTTTTGTCGAAATAATGCGGAGTTTAGCATTTTACTTACAGTAGAAATATTCATCATCGAGTTAACGGCTATTTCTTGTTGTAAAGCAGCTAGCTCTCAGCAGATGAAACCATATATATATATATATGACCACAGGAACATTATGTGTGTATATGCTTGAAAATTAAATATGTGTATCGATTGGTTAGTGAGCGTGATGATGCTTGTGTTAGTTTAGTTATGCAGTAAAGAATAATGCATAGTAAAAATTTGAATAAATTTCTCCTTGCAAGCAAACTTTGCTTACAATAACGAAAAGCATAGCGCAGCAGCATCTCTACTTGGGGTCAGAAGAGAACAATTGATGATGGTTGTTACATTGTGTGCCAGCAGCTTTGCATCTCATATCATTACTGCAGCAAGCACGTTAGCATCATCAACAAACCATTCTATCTATCCCATGGGGCGGTATTCAATTTCCATCCTTTGTTCCCATTCATTCATTTCATCCATCTTTACTGTCCACTTTAAACATATTTTTGCATCTTATTTTCTACCTTATTTGAAAAGTGTTTGAATCAAATTTTGTGAAAACTACTAATACGGTAATACAATATTCTAGCCGCTAATTGCTATAATATTTTATTTCACTTGGCAATATATACATATAAAACATACATTTGGCACATTGTTTGAAATAACTATCATAACTCTTTACAGTGGTATTACTTATCGAAATGCCTTTGTCTGCTAATCGAAGAAGATAAATGTTGAAATGTAATTTATTAATAGCAATTTCATCTTTATTTGAATCATTAAGCAGTTAGTTCCATAACGAGAATGGTTACAGATGATGAATTAAACACTTGTGTTGTAAAGGAATTAAACACTGTAGGCTATCTGTTACAGCACCATTTACTGATTTTATTGTTTTCTCTCCGTACTCAATTTTATTCTTATTTGATGTCAATAATTTATATTTGCTAAGATTTATTTGGATGATACATATGTATGCTTGAAATTCTGACAGTAGGAGTGGAATGAATGTACACGGACAGTGTGTTGTAAAGGACACATGTCTTGTAGGGGTGGTGGTGATGTGTACCAAGAAGAGCAATGGTTGTAAAGTTTACAGCAAGACTGGCACATCCTGAACTTGGTAATTCCATATCACGACAACCACTACTCCATCCTTAATAGTGAAAGGTAGTAGTAGCAGCAGTTGTGGAGTTGTGGCGTTATCTTTCTATATGAATATTAGCTTTGAGATTTCTTAGTAACTTTAACCTATTAGGCGACTGACTGACTACTAATTTCTAGTTAGTTGGTCATCCTCGACAACTGTTCCTTCCTTCTAAGTGTCACTCCTCATACGCTACGAGTGCTAATGGATTCTTTTGAATTGCAAACGAATTCAATAGCTGTCTATCAATTTAATTAGTCTCGACTTATTTCCTCTCCTCATATCACTTGTTTCTCATTGGATTGCAATCTCAGTTTACTCATTTTGAAAGTTCCTAATTATATTTTCATCGTTATCTTGCCAGATATTTCAGTTGTATTATTGTTTGTGCTAAGAATATAAGCAACTGTCGGAGTATTCTTGTTTTGTCAAAAAAACTTGAGTATTTTCATCTCAAATCAACTTCATCTTTCATTTTGCAAGCTGTCCTGTACATTGCGTATAGAAGTATTATTTAACATTGTGATCTCATTTCTTGTGTTATGTAATCTACCGTAAGAACATGATGGAATTCATTTCCATGGTTTCATCCCATTTGTATTTTTGGAGTTTTGATGTGGCATTCGATCTTATAGTCATAACTGAAAAATTCATGGTAGCTTCACTTGTAGTGGAATTGTAGTTGCACACTTCTAGTTCAAGAATTTAAACACTGAAACAGAAGCACTGGATCTCATAGTATTAATGCATTTTGAGCAAAGAACGATTGTTGAAAGATTGAGGTCAGAAGTGAGGAATTTTTTGCGATTAGGCTGTTGTAATAACTTTTTTGAAAGGACTTTTTGAAGCGGTTAGTTGCTTAATTCCCAATTCTTATTCTTCGATATATCTTTCTAGTGACATGAATTTTTTTTCGAAAATTTGCTTTGCTATATTTGTGATTGCAAGCCTTTTCTACGTTATTACCTTCACTTTTTCTTAACTATTGATTTTTGTCACTCTACAGCTCACTAATAAAACCTATATTTTTCGGTCATATATGTTTTTTATTTTTAGCATTCGGAATCGCTTTTAAACGAAACTGCTCAAAGTCAGTCTAAGGTTGCCACTTTACGGAAATGCATCCTTGCTGCTTCGCCACAGCTGCTCATGCATTTTGCAAATATTTTACTTGATGTTGCTAAAGGACAAGCGCCAGTATGTGAATTGGATTCTGTTCTCGTACTTCTTCAATATCCCGTCGAAGAGCGAATTTCTGGTCAGGCTATTGGGGTTTGTTGATTGGTTCCAATTTCTATGCATGAACGTATTTGCAAATGTACGCATCATAAAGTATGCTGTGAGTGGTTGCTATGGTATTGCTGATTAATCCTGTCTCAGTTTAACTTTGTGGCACCACTATCCATTCATATGATCATTTGAATCAAACTTCATTGCATACTAAGAAATTGCTAAAAATCCATTCTTTTGTTTCCATTGCTTATAGGACGGAGGGAGTGGGTTGTATTCTCTTACTTCAGTTTATTGACTTATCTCTCAGATGTCGATTGCATCGGTATTTAAGTATGTAGTACAAATTGTACTTCAAATTTGTTAACGGATATTATAAATAGTTTTTGATATGAAATTATCGCTAAGAAAGTCATATCGCTGCTTCAACGGTTGTGTCTCGTGTCACAAAATTGAGCAACTGTTGTCTTTTAAAGTCTTGCTGTTCGGTGTTCGTAATCATTTGTGTACATAATGACTGCTACTTTCGACATTTTGAGTTGCATTTATTATTCTTTTAACAAACTGAGATTACTTTTTTGTAATTTTTTCTGCAAGTTTTTTCTTAACAAAAACTGATGCTAGGTGGGTCGGCCAGTTAAGTGAATGCTTTGCCACAGTCTTAGAAATTGATTAAGCTGGGCTAAGGTTCACTTATACTGGACGCTATTACCGAAGAGCAGATGTTCGTATTTGTATGCAACAAAATCTGTGGTATATTCTCTTTTTACGTGATCTGTGATTTTTATTAGATTATTTATCTAAATTTAGTTATATTTCGTGGACCGTTTTTAGCGTTGTCTGCGTGATGTAAATTTATGTTTTAACTAGTTTACTGCTTGCGTTCTTTGGTACTCAATTTATATTCTAAGAATACAACAAAAAATATCTGTTTTTATGCTTAAAACTTAAATTAATAGTAGCTGAAGTAGGTGGTTTGCTTGTAATTTTGGACTCTTAAAGTTTTCTTTATTTTTATCAATATTTGAAGAATGAGTGAAATTACACGTGGTGCAGCGTGTAAGTTGGATCATAGTATAAAATCCTAAACATATGAAACATTGTGCTTTATTTGTACTAAGTATTTTAAAATTATTGTCTTGCTCAAGTTTAAAATTACTATTAAAGTCGGTTCCAGCATCGAAGTGATGCAAGTAATGGAGACTGTAAAACATCAACCCAATCTAAAGCATCAGAAGCTACAATGGTCCATGCCCATTTAACTAGTCGTTCGGATTGCGATTTGAATCGTGAATTGACAACAGAAAAAGCTTTGGTCAGTTTTCAGATCTTGCAAGGTGAAACGGTCAAAATAATATCAATTTTAATTGTTCTCCCATATATTGGAATTAGTTGCAATGACGAAGTCTTGTTCAGAATATTTTTAATCTGTCCATATTTTATTATGATATACTTTTTGATTGTAATTTTTACTGAAAAATTAGCAGAAATATAGTGATTTGACCATCGTTTTGTATGACTATGTCATATTTTTTCAGTCTTCTGAATAAAAATTATGAAAACATATTGTAACCCTAATTCATTATTAATAAGTCACGATATATATGTAAGAAATTGATTTATCCACTGTGCTTCTTTTCAAGTCATTAGTTTTTTCCATTCCATTTCAGAAATTTGAGTTAGCTAAGCAACAACTTTCCACTGGGGAAGCAAAGTTAAGAAAGCAGCAAACTTTGGAAAAAATACGAACCAGAACGCGAGTAATTAATGATGACCAAAAACAGTTTCCGAAGACTAATAGTACCAAAGGTTAGATATTTTGTACTCGTCTAAATGTTTTTATTATGCAGAAACTAATGAAATTTTATTAAACAAGTATTACAAAATTTTCATGGGCTGTCTGTTTATAATTTAAGTTGTGATGTTTTTTTTATAAATTATAAGAATAAGCGAAAATATGAGAAAATATTGGTGATGCAAATATTTGCGTTCAGATCGCTTATGCTTTATTCATCAGAACACAATATCTTACTTTATTTAGTTTAAAATAAATGGCAATTTAATAAATTAGTCTGACTAATATTACTATGATTACTTTTAACAAACGAAAAATAGCAGATTTTGACTTAAGCTCATAAGTATCAAATTATCTTTAGTTTAAATGAAGTTTTAATATGGACTAAAATATTTTAGGTTTCTCCATCTTCCAGTCATTTAGTAGGAAAAGCAAAAAGTTAATGTTTTTTCTTGATAATCTTCAAATTTTTTTGACTATCTGTTATTATCGCAGTTGATTTTACAGGTCATTCATATAATCATTTTCGCAAAAATTATGAAATCAGTAATTGCAAAAGAAATTAAATACTGTTTTTTGCGTAAAATGTAGTTTAGTTAGTTACAGATTTGGAAAATAGTATCTGCATGCTCATTGATGGCATCCTGCCATGGGTTGGGCAACAAAGTGAACTGATTGCAGACGATCAATTGATGAAACAACTGCGTGAGAGATTACTGCAACAAGCCTCAGTGATCTGCTTTCCTAAAAATGCCGCATATTCAGATTTGTTCTGTAAGCAATTAAGCACAATTTTTGACAGCACACTGTCTCAGTATGTAGGCAGCAAATTAGCTGAAGTCAGTGAAGTACTTATTTTTGATGTTTCGGAAGTTTTGTACAATGAATTAGCATGTTTCCAGCTGATCAATAGTACCAATAGTTCAGCAATTTAGGTTAATTTCTACGAATTTTAAACACGTAGAACATAAATGTATGCAGTAAAATAATTTGTCGTAGCATTATGTATTTTACCTCGTTTCTGTCATTCAATATTTGTTTGCTCTTAGAATTCTTTGCCTTTAATCGTTTGTTTGTTATATGTTGGTTTCTGAACTGTAGTATTACTCAAATTTTGATGAAAAATTTCTCTAATCATGTTATCAGCTGCCTTCAAGTCGTAATGAGACCCAGATTTCATGTGTTGAAGCTATCTACCACACAAGTTTGGTACACATCGTATTGTCACTTGATTATAACTGAATCTGGAAAATATGTGGTATAAAGCAGTGAAAAACAAATTAAAGGATGATGCGAAGGGAATAGATCTTATCATCTATACAGTGTTCGATCAGTAGGTTTCGTGTCTCGATATTTGTTTGGCTACATTGCCCAGTTGTACAACGCTTACTTTCTATAGACAAAGCACATATTTCTAAAGTAAACAAATCAGAAGCAGTACAAATTGAACTGTATGAACGGAACAAAATTGTGTGGAGCTATACTTTTGGCTAAAGAAATGAACTGAAATATGAAATGTTGGGAAAATGATGGCCATTTGCAAGTTGTAGAGGTGAGGTGTCGTTTTCTTAGTAGTATCAAATGAAGACTATGAGAGAAAAGGCAGCATGTGTGTTGAGGTCATACCTATAAATAATTTATTCAGGTGCAACCAAATGTTCTTTTCCATTGCATATTCTGACTCTATTTCCAATAATCAGACTGCACACAATTTCAAACTTATGACTACGAGTCGTATTCTGCTCAAGTTTTTACTTTTTCAAGTTGTGTCACTTAAAAATGAAAAGTTAATTCTGATTGTCTACCTATTCTGTGATTACAAATGCAGCTCGAAAAAAAATGATTAATATGTGGTTGGGTTACTTGTATGTCATGATTTTTTTTACTACTAGATTAATTTTCTATTGCTAAAGTGTACTTGTTATAGAAATGAATTGGGATATGAAATGTTGAAAAGATGATGGCTATTTGGAAACAGCAGAACGCTGATCGTACGCTTGTAGAAATTGCCGTTGTTGCTACCATACTTTTTACTATTCTAGCTACTAAATTGAAACAAAATGTGTTGTACGCTAACTTATCGTTTGTTATTATTGTACTGTGTTCGTTACATATCTATGCAATTCGTTTGCATGTTTATTGTTGGCAGTTATTTCCACTTCTATATCGACGCGTTTTTGACGGAACTGATGAAAGGTCAGTTATTTTTTGCACATTTTTTCATTTGGTTCAGTGCTGTTTCATTTGAAAAAAATAAAGTATCTTATCTGTAAAAAAGTATTCATGATCAATAGTACCAATAGTTCAGCAATTTAGGTTAATTTTTATGAATTTTAAACACGTATAACATGAATATATGCAGTAAAATAATTTGTCGTAGCACTATTTATTTTACCATTTTAATTATAGATATCATTTAATATGAATATCCATAATTAAAATGCCTTCTCAACTTATTAAAAATTTTTGTAAAAACCGCGAAATTTGTTTCTTCATTTAATGGGTTATCAATATGGATATCTATAATTCATTAGTTCTTGATACATTTTTAAGATTTGATCTACTGCTATTCTACATTATTTGTGTGGTAGAATCATTAATATTCTGTATTGTTGTAAACCTTTCATCGCACAGCTCAACAATTCATCGAAAATTTTTCCATTTAACGGCTTCTTTAGTTTGTATTGCTGGTATTAAGTATGATTTCGAATTAATTTGGCTCTTGGCTTGGTTGATGTTGTGTTTATTCATTGTCATTGAGGTTTTTTTTTTCAAATTTTTGAAATTTTCGAAATAAAAAACACTTTTGCATCGAAGCCCAGTACTTATTTGACAAAAAGTAAGAGCATTTAGCACTAGATTGACTGATAACGGTTTTCAGTGATGTTATATTGAAAATATAATGAAAAATAAGTTTCGTCCATTAAAAAATTTAATGTAGTTGATAGGTATGAATAATTTTCCTTTAATTAGCTCAAACTATTTTTCTGATTATCATTACAGGTTTTTCGTTCAAATCGTATACAGCCTTGGTCATCATTTCTTAGTAATTGGTTGATGGTTTTTGTTAATGAACAAGATTCTTGTGAACTTATCTTAACTCCAATATATCTTTTAGCAGGAATATTTTTGCCTATATTTCTCTCACCTATTTCTAATCAAGGTAAATTTTGTTCTTGTTGTGTTGTTCCGAATATTTTTCCAGATATAATTTTGTTATTTAAAGCACATATCTTTTCCTATTATATCATTGTTGAAATCTGAATATTCATTTTATGACGAAAGTATAAAGAACAGTTTTCATATTTTTAAAAACTTAGTTTGCATGCTTTGTCGAATATTTGAAAAAATGAAGAAACTTGTGGAGAGAATATTATTTTGTATTTTTAAATAATTTCGAAACTGAACATAATCGTGTTGCTTGCAACTAACTTTTTGTAATTTTAGCATTGTTTACAAACTTGCAGATTATCCTCGTTTATATCACTTTGCTGGTGTTGCAACAGTGGGTGTTGGTGACAGTTTCGCAGCAATTTTTGGTTCACTATATGGACGTTTAAAATGGCCAAAGTCAAGAAAAACAGTAGAAGGAAGCATTGCATTCGCTGTTAGCCAATATATTTTTACAGTTCTTATTTGTCAGTATTACATAAATTATGATGTAGGTGTATATGAATTGTCTCGACTTTTCTTGAGCTCCATTCTTTGTGCGTTTGTAGAAGCTCAACTGCCTGCTATAGACAATCTTATTCTGCCTTTGATGGCTTATTTGACGATGATTTAGCAACAGCGATTGGTTAAGAATGTAAAATGTGTAATAAAGAATTTTGATAGTATTATCAATTCTGATAAATTGTTTTGTTTGCCATGATTTGTCTACGTCTATTTTTATAATCTCAAACAGCTACAATAACAATTTAAAAAATGAATTACAATAGAAAAATGGGCAAAACAAATATTATCTACAACATGAGCGAGAATATAGTAGTAGTATTCAGTGAATTAAAAAAAATGGTACAATTTAAAAATCCAATTACAATCAAAAAAAGAATGAAAGAATGCAAGAG